TACTGTTGTCGTTTTTGTGTGTATCAGCGTGTATACGTACGTATGTGGAATACACGTATGTATGTGGGATATAGATGTATATATATATATATGTTACGTCTATGCTCCGTAGCTATGTGTCGATACGCCTCTTGCTGCCGATATAAACATTGGTATTTGCGTTGCATCTATTTCCCCTGGTGCAATTTTCCGTGACCAGATATCGAGAATGACTCGAGATTTAAGCAGATGTGAACATATACGCGTGGAGACACCATTATATACGTTTACATTGCTATATTGTACAAGAGTTTTTTTTTTTTTTATAAATGCGCAGGAATTGATGTGTAGAAAACCATAAACTTTTCGTGATTAATGTTGTGTTGTTTTTGTTGTGATGACTCTTCGAGATATATGATTTCATGAACGCGTGATATTTTTATTATTATGAAACCGTAATTCGTAACAGGAATCTGACAACGAAACTTCAATGATCCATTTTTGATTGACACGGATATTTCATTGTTCCGGGACAAATATTCGTCGCGCGCGCAAAATAAAAAGTAAACAAACCGGAACAGATGATACTGTGAAATGCAATCGGAAGCAAGTGGCGCGACTGGTAAGCTAATTCGATCAATGATGCGGCATATCGGTTCCATGATGGGCACGCTCGACGTCGATTCAATTAAACGCTGGGGTCAAAACAGTCTTTAAAGCGGTATCGACACAATTTTGGACATTACGATCGATCGCGAGATGCGAGAGAGGGTTTGTGTTCGCGCGGGAACGAATGTTCTCGTTTGTCGCGTTTCAAAATATATACGAGGGACATGTGGTGGATGGGATAGGAGGGATATCGTTCGCGAAAAACTAGACGAAATAAATGAACGAACGAACGAACGACTGTCGATGTCAAGAGTTTTGTATGAGTTTCAATGCAAACTGTACCATCAACACCTCGGACACGGAGCTGATGCTGAGGACATACATGGTGACGCCGACCTCCACGGGCGGACCTGCAATCAACAAAACCATCCGGCCTTGGTCGCTGTGATTACCCGCCAATCTCTAATTAACCGTGTAATGACCTATCGTGTGTGTACGAGATAAATAGATTGTAGGTTCTAGATAATAAGTGGTAATTAACAGTGGTAAAATGCATCGAATCTTCCTTCACCTCTGACTCACGCGCAATTTTCGCTTAATTTTTAAGTACTTTCCAAAAAGATATTGTATTTTGTGCATGACGCGCGCGACGACGTGTTTCGTCAGAAGAATCGAGACTCATCGCGGAAACGCTCTCTGTATTTTTGATACGCGTGAGCGATAGTATTGCATGTCGCGTTCGACGATTTTTTTCTCGAGTCTTCGGATAAATCGGGAAATGGATTGTGTCATTCTCTCGACGGAAAGAGGGTTGCTTCCGGGAACGTCGCGCGCGTTTATTATTCGTGAGCCAGAGGCGAGACACAAACACTGACAAAGTCGAGGAGAGCTCGCACCCTGCACGGAACCAAATCAACAGGACTCGTCGTCTCAGGCCACGTTGCCTTCCAAGCTGGAAGAATCATTCATACTTGTCTCGTTACATATTAGGCACATTATGCTCTTACGTAATATTTATACATACACATCACAGCCACGTAGCAGTATGTGAAATTATCTTACTACTATCGTCTTTCGTTTTATCGTACATCACGTCGCTCTTTTTTTTTTTCTATTGCAGTTTGCTATGTGCTTTCTCTCACTCTCATTCTCTTTCGTTCTTTGTGTTCGTCTTGTTTTTGCCGATCGTCACGTCGTATTCCAATTTGGCTTGTTGTGGCTATACGTGTACGTATCTCAGGGAAATCTGGCTCGCTTTACAGTCCTTTTTCTTGCCCTATATTATAAACGCCTCTCCATTATCGAGAGTAACGCGTCGTCTTGTCGAACGTTCGTCGAACGACATCGTTACTTTACACTGAATTGCTGTCATTGTCATTGCGGTTGTCGATTCCGGGCGAAATTTATTTTTGATATATATATATATATATATATTTTTAGCTTCTGGGATTTTGTGAGGAAGATGCCTTGAATACTGAAAGAGCTGTTGGAAGGAACTTGAACGGGTATCACGATCGAGGGAGTTCGATCGAATTGTTCATTCTCGCGTGTTCATTCACGAACGTGTGATACGTGCGGTGTTCAGACAGAGAGATGGCGGAAGTGTCAAAGGGCAAAGAAGAGGGCGGATATTTTTTTCGGGCGGCGGGACATAGAGTAATAATAATAATAATCGTAAGTGGTTTGCAGGCGGCAGCCCATCTCAGCAACCGCGGCATAGCAGCTAGAGCGTCTAAGAAACGGTCTAAACGGGACGGTCGTGCGTGTTTAATATATTGAACAAAATACTATTTTTTTCCCTGAGAGCAGAAAGCAATAAAAGAGACGCTCCTCATTCACGTTCTCTCTAATACTACGTGACGCTCGGGGCAGCCCAGGCTCAAAAGTCAGGCAGGAGATCAATTAACTAAATTTTCCACACTCGCAGAAAGCGAACGTAGTTCGAAGCAACTGAGTTTCACGGCTTGATTCATGATTTTCATAGATTTTCTCACCAATGTCGAAACTTTTAATAGCGTTCTCGCGTCACTACAGTATTTACCGTGAAATCACACCATCAAATGTTTAGACAAAAGATTATATTTTCATTGAAATAAATCTGACTCGGGCACGTTAAACTGTCTCGCTATAATTTAGAACGATTCAGTTTTTTTTTCGTCTTTCTTTTTTTAAAGATTTAGCTCAACTTGCGCTGCTACGTGCTCCCGTTTTCAGTTGCTGAAACTACAGCCCCGTTTCTCGAGCGTAGAACGAGGACAGCCAGTATATATATTTATTATCTGAAATATGAAATAGTACTTTGTCCATTTTTAGTAGTGTCTTTTTTCTGTTGCTCGCTACTAAAATATATATATGTGTTGTGTATGTGTGTGTGTGTGTGTGTATACGGGAGAGTGCGTGTAAGGTCATACACGCGCACACTCATTTCTGCGTTGGTATAAACCGGTACCGCGATAAGCGGACAGACCACAAGGCACTACAATATATCAAGTGAGTTAGGAGATTCGGCTTGGTTGGCTTCATTTCGGTAGTTTCAAAGTACAAGTGGTAAACCGCATCGCGTAATCGTTACCGTGCGCAAAGTGCGTTTTGTACATAGAGCACTACCATAAGTTGGAACTTTTATGCAATTTTGTGGCTTTTTTTCGCGTTCGCGAATAATAAAGTATGTATATTTCCTCCAGATATGCAAATTCAAACAATTTTACTATTTTGAGATGGAAGAAATTTACACTGTCAAGTATTCGTGTGTAAAACAAATTATTAAATTATGTATTATTCTGTTTCGCGCGAATTCGCGTAATAATAATGTCTGAAATTCTTTCTTTTATAAGTAATCAATCATTCTTCGAGTCTCATCATGTTATGTTAGTTTTAAAAGATGCAGAAGAACGAAATAAAAATCCAAAATATAAACAAATCTAAATAAAATGAATTAATTTCTAATATTTCTCTATTTAACCGAATGCTATAAAAATTTAGCAAAACATGTGTTACAAAGAAAATCGATTGATAAAAGTCATTTAATGAATCTCATCTGGTTAGAAACCAAATGCTTATCTCGTTTAAATGTTTATTTCGCACAAGAGATATAATCCTAGTTTCGGAATGCTGGAATAACGACGAACCGGGTCTCTTCTGCATAGTTGCGTTCAATCGATCCCGGAATTAACGCGCCAAGAAATTGGACCTTTGCCTCGAAGCGAGCGTCGAGTCGCTCCGGCAATCGCATAATCGCATTATGCAATTGTCGCAATTCGAAACGTCGTCGCTAAACAAAAGACGCATCAAAGAAGCATATAACCCAGGGCAATGCGGAGAATCTGCGGACGACAAGCGAACTAATTTCATCCTCGGGGCGTCGAAGATCGAAGGCGGTGATCGAAGAACATCCCTCATCCCGACATCGACGACACCCCGAGGACCAAATTATTTGATTTTATTTTCGTGATACTAAGCAGCAATTAATCAATTATGTACACGCGTTAGGAGCGAAATAATCGCTCGCCGACGTCATTAAGTTAACTAAGATAATTCACGCTTCACAAAGAACGCGTATTAAACAACGCGACGTTTATTGGACTCGACCGCTGAAAGTATCGCGCCAATTAGTGCGTGATTAACGACACAAACGAATTGTTTCATCGAGGCGAGACGCGGATGACGATATGAGAAATCACCCGGCCTGGATATTGCAAATGTTGATCGTTATAACGCAATCGACATTGAGAGTCGACCGCTAGAATCAATATGTCTTGTTCTCTCTTGTTATTTACCTTTGTTAATTTTTGAACTACATAGATTTGAATCGCATTGTGCGCAGTGTGCGTGCGTGTAAAGTACTTGATTATCCAACGAGACACTATCGGGATGTTTATGTGCCTTATAATATCTACAAACACAAATATAATGGTATAACACGAATAAAGTGAAAATTCTATTGCGTGGTGCGCGCATAATCTCACCAGAATATGTGTATATACCGTAACTTATGATTAGAAACAATAGTTATTCCAATATACATTTGTTGGAGGGATGACGAAAACAATGGGAAGAATGCACACTCGTGTGCACGTGTATGTACAACAATATAATTGAATATGCATCCGCATAAATCTCCCAGATGTATGTCTGTGCACGTTGTGTATGTATATAATATATATATATATATGTGTGTGTGTGTGTGTGTGTGTCAGTGGATAAAAGATGCTGATGACAATTCAGTAACGATCAGCGGCAACCGTTGATTTGAAAAATACACGGGCACTAAGAAAGTGTGGTTGCTTGAGCGAAAAAGAGACCGACGGGAGAAAGGATGAAGAAGGCGGGCGAGGGTTTGTGTTTAGCCGAGAACGATAGTTAATAAATATAACTTTCAGCGGAAATTACTGAATAAGACCTAGAGGTAGTACCATTTTCACTTCGGATAGGGAGCTGATACTCAAGACGTACATGGTGACGCCCACCTCGACGGGAGGACCTGAAATCGAAGGTTAGTAAGTCTGAGTCGGCGGTTTTTCCGGCCGCGGCCACACAAGCTACACGGTGAGAGAGTGACTGTATGGCATTCGTTCGTTTAATCTCACGAATATCACACACGAATGTATACACGCATGTATCGCTTTCTTTCTTTCTTTCTTTCATTCGGTAGCGTTCTGTGAGTTTACTGTGAATGCGAAATGGCATGTTGGTGATGTCGCTACGTTGGATGGATCGCTGAAAGTGGTAATCGCTTTCGATTAGACGAAATGTCCGCTAATTATTCTGGAGCTAATTTACGTGTGCTCGGTTGTCCTTGTATGATGTTTTTCAAAGATGGCTTTGCTCGGACCTGTTTTGATATCTCTAGGCGCAGCGCTGTGTAACGTTGCTTTTTATTTTGCGTTTTAAACGATTCATTTTAAATTTGAGATGAATAACATTTTTTTAATTTATGAGATTTAAATTAAAGTGCTGAATGATTGAAAATTATTTGTATCTTTCATATCTTCTTTCTTTCTTTTTTTTTTTTTTAATATTATACTTATATATTATTTATTAAGAATATATTTTTGTATCGCAGCTTCAATCTTTTTATATAATTTATAAAATTAGCTACTTAAATACTTAAATACCCGATCATTTGCTTCATTATGTAATGAATAAATTCGAAATCCCAAATAAGAAATTCTAAAAATTGCAGTGGTAGATACGAAATGTGAAGCGCGAAATCGAGTATTTCCGAAATCGAGAAATCTTCTGCCGGTCGAATTGATCGGTCGTAAAGGACGAGACGGAAGAATGTAATCGCGGTCGATCAAGCGGTATATTTCGCCGGGAAAAGTATGGCCGAAATTTCGGCCAGCTCAGGTGCGGATGGAAAGAACCGTTTGTCGAGGGGAGAGCGACGAGAAAACGAGAAGCGAGGACGCGAATTGGGAAAGGGTTAACGAATACAGGCGAGGATACGTGTCCACGTTGGCGTTTTCGCGATAAAGTTGACTCGTAAACAACGGCTCTGCCAACGCCATCGCGCGCCACTCGACCAATATATCTTCATTTCCATTTCTAGGATGTTTTTAAAGCCCTATACCCGAGGAACATCCCATATGGGACACATATTTCACAATGACGTTCTCGCGTACACGCTCGGAAAACGCACGGCCGACGTGGTATCGAGTTAATTGAAACGCTCCAGCATGCTTTGCCCGTGCAAACCGATCGCCCATGAGAGAGCTTTACTCCGAAAAAAAAATAAAAGATATATGAGACACATGTGTGATGCAATCGAGAAAGAACAAAAATTAATAATCGACTATGGGGTTGAAAAATCGCAGCCATCGCGCCACGCGTGTGCCGATATTCCTGAATTATTTATATTAGCTTTATATGTTTGCAGGTAATATATATATATTTTCCCGTGAACACGTTATGTCATCGGATATTACATCGAGTTTTAATTTTAAAAAATTTAATATTTTAATTTGAAAAGTTTAACAGTCTAGTTTTGCGAATATTTCACGGGTACGTAAAAAAATATCTACGGAATAATTATATTATATACTTTTAATTACATTTTTTATAAACACATATATGAAAAAATACGCGTGAATGCGAGTTTATTTGTTGCAATTTTTCTGAATCTGCGAGACTCTTTTAATACGGACGCGAAAAGTTGTATTGTGTTTATTATTACATCAAGCTAGTTTATGGAGTGCAAACATTTCGAGTTTCTTGTCACGTATTTTGTTATTTTACATAGGCCTTGGACGGTAGAACTGTTTGAAAATCCGGCTGCGCTCCGAAGAATATCCGATGAAGCGTCACGAAGAGTCAAAGAGAGCAACGCGACTGTTTATCCTATCCATAGTATTCTTCTGCCCGTTTTCCGTAATGTGTTCCCGTACATAGCGTACAATCTAAATTTTAAATGTTAAAAACTCGTATCTCTCTGGCGTGTATCGGGCATGCGAGGGAGACGCGGATATCGGCGATTCGAATCGAGATGATACGTTTACTGCTCCTTTTTTGCAATCTATCGACGAGTAACCTATATACGTGATCCCGCGGAAAAATGAGACGCCCGTTTTTCACGTTTGACAGTTGACCCCGAGTTTATTTGCGCAGTAAATTATTACCAATGCATTTTTCAGACTTTTAGTTGGAATAATCAAGATAGACCGTGTTTTCGGTGTTCCAGATCAATTTCAGATCAGTCAAGGCTTTGCCTTCGTCCTCCCACTTGAAAGCTCATTGATACATTTTTGATTATTACAGGCTGCGCGGAAGCAATTTTCGGATTTTACACATTGAATAAATTGAATAATATTTCTTTAATATAGAAGCGGTTTGTGCATATTTAACATAGTTACATGAAATGTATGTAATTAAATGATAATACGCCGACTGCGTGTTTATTTTATTTTACCGCGCGCTGAGAATTCGCAATTGCAGTACATATAATTTTAACTTTACACGCTGCATATGAATTGAAGCTTTTAATTATTCGGTCACCGCTTTTTTCGGTTTTCATATCTGACATATAGCAGTAATTATAACTGCGAGCAAAAATACATTTCGAATAAATCAATGAATATCGGCAAATAATTTTAGCCTCGTCGAAAACGATTGAACTAAAATGATGAACTAAAATAATTCTCGGTCAGTCAAATCCCAAATCCTCCTTTTGGGAGAAGAAAATGGAAACGGGGGCGATATGCGATGCACCGGAGGTGTCTTGATTCACACGAAGAACCAAAAGTATGTGGATCCTGGAATAGAATCTAGGACAAGAAGAGAGAGGATGGGATGGTGCAAAGACTCGAAGGTCGAAATCAAAGTCAAAATCATAATTGACGGCGAAAGATACAGAGTGTCTATGCAGTCGGCGTGGAGATGCCGTTAACGGTAACCCGTGGCAACCCGCGGAGCGTCCCAGCATCGATCCGAGTTTTATCGAAGCGTTCCAGCCCCGCCCAGCCACCACGAGGCCACTCTCGAAAATGTGTCTTTGTCGCGGATTGAATTGTCGTCGATATACATGAATCATAATAATCGCAGCGCCCCTTCTCGACATCGAAATAAATAATCGGCCCGTCAGGTTGAGCCTATAAATGAAACGAAATGCGCGGTGACTTTTTGGCCTATACCGAAAGTGGGACAGACCGTCCATCGGCAAGCGCGCTAATTGCTTCTAACTGACTGTCGACTCTCTGGCGAGCGTCATGCTCACTCGAAACTGGCCTAATGGCTCTTTAATATTCCCGTGTTTTATAAGCATCCCGTTTATTCGGCCGCGAAATCGCATCGCAGAGCCCGCGGTCGATAACCACCTGGCATTTATTCAAAGCGACCGTCTATCATCGCGAAGGTCTATCATCATTCCGTACCAATTGCGTGCAAACTGCGTCTCGCGCAAATCGTGTCAAAAGTAAAATTTAACAGAGAAAACATTCCGCTATTTTTTAAAATTTTTTATTTTTCTTTTAGAATCACGTTTCTGGCCTCCGTCATGGGATACCGTGCCCGCGCCGTATCGCTTTATTGATATTTTTTTTTATTTTGATAGCTATGCGTAATCGAGCCGCGCGCGATAAACTGCAAATTACTCCTTTGTCGGGAAAAACACGATGCGAGAATCGCGTACACGTGCTGCCGCGCTGTTCCTGTCAGACTTGTTTTATGGAAGCGGTAGTATGCTCGACAGAGCCCGGCGTTTTTGTAGGATAAACGTGGGAAGTGGTAAGCGGCGTCAAAAATATTTCCTGGAGCGTTTCGTCGAAGCTTTACTACTGTGTCGCGCTATTGTTGCACAGCGATTCGAAAGCTCGCGCTTTATATCTTGATTTATCGCGCATCGATCTCGTGTGTTAAAATTTTTTTTTTTTTTCGATAGATCCTCTCTGTATGTATATATTTATTCACTCTCTGTCAGCGTACTTCTTCAATTTTTTTTATTTCAGCACTGCATCAAGATGGAATACGATGCCAGTTATTTTTTTTTATTTTTTATTTTATCCGAGCACACGTAAAAAGCTCTTTTCTGCGCTTGCAGCGAACGAAGTGGAATTAAAAGACTCGCCATATTCTATTCTCTCGCTAATTGATTGAATTTACCGTATGTCAATATTTGGTCTTTTTCGTCATCAAACTTTCTTAATTTCGTTGGCTGCAAGGTAATGTTTTAGATTCACGTAATAGTGCAACGAACATACAAAAAAATGAGACGGAGAACGCTTTGCGCAAAACTTGCTATTGTATTATTTTACGGTCATGAATTAATCGAAGTTAATCGACGTCAATCAGATAATCACATTGAACGTATGAAATTGACAAGTTTTGCGCACGATATATAAAATCCACGCCACAGGGTGGTTGAATGATCTCGGTTATCGAAAAATGGGAAAAATCAAATCCCTACTCACCTCCGTAGTTCGGCCTTACTCTTTTATCGTAACTGATGGAAAAGGAGTCTAGTATCGCAGAAATGTTCACGTCGCCCAGCATACTGCCGCCGCCAGTTCTGCAAAGAGACAAAATTTATCTTAAATTTTCTCTATAAAAAATAGTGCTCTAAAATTACAATAATTGTTTATATAAGTTTTACATTATTTATAAAATTTATTTACATCTAATGGATGTTTCTTCAGTTAAATTAATTGGAGTATGATTGAAAGAATTTTTTCCAAGTGCAAAAAATATTCCGTACCTAATTCTGCATAATATTATAACAGTAAAAGATCCCTGGATAAATACCTTAACATATATTATAACGTTGCACGTAACAATATTATTTTTAGAAAACTTACTTATCTTAAACATTTTTCTTACGAATAATCTACAAATCCTATTATTCCTATGACATTTTGAATATAAATTGAATAATAATTGCAAATGATTGTTTCTCATGAAATCGGCAACATTAAGATAACTTGCTATTGAATTTCGTGGTATATTATCATCCCGAATTCTTGAACCGATATAAATACTGGTATAATATCTTCCGAAAATAAGTTCGAGAGAAGATATTGTAACAGTCTGCATGACATACACGACCGCGAGAAGTAGATACGTCCGAAGATTCGAGACATAAAGTGCAGGGGGTCTGTTCTTGACTTAACGGGTCAGTAGATACAGATGGCCTCGGTCAGCCAAACAAACGGCCCTTGAGTCCGCGGGCTGATACGGTTCCGCATTACCTACAAGAGAGCCCCGATCTAATGGTCGCAACGGCGCGGCGCAGCAGCCGATTCCTGTTACGCTAAGTAGAGCAGCTCGGCCCAAGAACGTTTTCCGCTTGGCTCAGCGGGCTGACCAAGATCGCACGTAATCACTTGGCGCAGCATTCCCGAATCACGCGAAGCCCCGTGTGCTGACGACCTTGGTCGGATCACGCAATATCTTTGCTTTGATATCCGCAGATCGCATAGTCGCACGCGCGAATCGTTAAAAATTTTAATCGGAACGAGAAAGATATACCCAGGAAATCAAATGAGTTTCTGAAACTTTTATTTTGCTCGCATCGCAATGCGCATTGCTTTTTATTTTTAAGCGATTATTTTGTTATTCTTTGATGTGAGCGAAATTTAATTTAACTTTTAGAAAACGGTAACCCTTTGATTTGACAAGAGATACCGTTTATGTCAATCTATTTAAGCATTTATGTATATATAAGATCAATTGAAATTACTGTGGCTTTTATTATAAGTATATAAATATAAAGTATTGGTCAAACGATAATAGACAAATGGTGTCAAAAGGAAATAATAATGAGAGTATTATAACACTTTGGTACCAGGTCGACAACATAAATTTACTCAAACTTATTATTTGCTTTGATAAAAGTGTGATTTAGTTTCATACATAAATATCACCTGATAATAATCTGCTTGTGTAAATTAGGCCGTTAATAATACCGTGAGTGTTTGATTAGTGCGTTACTCTCAATTATTAAACAGGGTAGACGCAAGAAAAGCCTTGACCCTACAATCATGTGTACATATGAGTCAGCAGAATGTTCGAGACACAGTGTACCTATCGTACATCAGTTTGCGCGCATAATCTTACAATGAAAGCAAGTAAAGCCGGCGAGCTTGTAAAGTGTTGCACGAATTAGACTAATCAAGATCGTGTGCATGTTTGCCGCGTTCTATTCTACTGACCAAGATTCCGAGCGTGAGTTATGCGATCTACAATGTGTCCCCGTGATTAGGTTCACGGGATTTCGTAATTAATTATAAATCAAGAAAATAACCGCTGTCCAAACACTCTACTTTTCAATTCAAAGTGGCAAGCTCGTTAGTAAAAATCCCTTAAAAAGTCATCATTCCGTATTCACTCGCTTATGCAAAACAGAATCATTGCAAATTCCACAACTATTATGGAGGAGCTGTAAAAATAGATACTAAAATAGCCACTAAAATAGGTATCAAATAAACAATTCATATTTGGTTTTGATGAATAATTAATAAATAATAGGAAAATCAATGAAATGATAAAATAAAAAGAAACTGTGTGTTAAATGTAATAGAAGAGAAGAAAATAATGTTATAATCGACTCGATCGATATATCGTATGATGAGTTGCTTCTTTGTAATCCGCTGTCAATTCGCGATTTCACCATTTCTTTCATAACAAATTATAATGTTTGTAAAGTACTTTGAAATAAGGTATCAGTAAATGAGCGAAGCGTCGATTGTTCATAGCGTATCTGAGAGGATTTTATTGAAGATCTTTTTTTTTGCAACCACTATAATTGAAGTCTCGCGAAACGATATCTCGCAACGAACAAGATCTCGCTACCAAGCTGTGATAATAGGTCAAAGGTTAAGCGTATTGATTAGACGCAGATATCTACTCTGGGAACAAGGGTGCGAATAATACGATGTAGATGGTATCGTGCAGATACGCGCGCAAAAATATAGATAGACTATTTCTCCGAAACTTATCACGAAGAGTCGACTTCATTTCCGCAAAATTGTTGCTTAGAACGCTTCCTGTTAAAAAATAGCATAAAATATTCTTACGAAATTATTAATATTACAATTGAAGTTAATTAAAGTTAAATTAGAGTAAATTTTTCTGTTAAAAAAAAAGCAAAGAGATGTGCCGTATAAATATACATATACTTCTAAATATATCGCATTCATCGCGTGTATTCGCATAATTAATTTTGTTAAACGTCATGTCAAGTATATAATAGCATTCAATTTAAATTAAAATTTTATTTTCGGCTTTCTCAACTGCGATATCCTCCTATCACTTTCGTCAAGATATGGTGAAAGCTTTGCTACAAGCTTTTTTAATTAACTTTGAATCGAACGATGTAAATCTTTTTTGTTTAATTGAAGGGAGGAAAATGATAAAGCATCCTCTCTGTGTAAAAAAGAGATGACATTTTTGATTGTTTGAAATATTTGAAAAATATTCTTTGAGACGGTTTTTTAATGTTTACGGGATTTCGCGGATATCTGTATTTCAGACGAAAGAATGCGGGTCTCTTTCACAGATCTTCAGAAAGACCGTTGGAGAAATGTCATACTATAGTTAAGCATTTCATGCTTCATTGCTTCAAAAGCGTCGCTATCCGCCAGACAATATTTTCAGAAGCTCATCCGTTCTTTAGATCTCGCGGAAAGTCTCTTTTCTGCTTCGTAGAAATCCATTTTTCTCACAATTTTCTATGTGTATTGTCTCGAATTATGAACTGAAACTTTAATGTTTTCACGTATAAAGTTCTATATACATATAACGCGGAATTAATGATAATTACGCCAGACAAATCTGTTTGACCGAAATTAGGTTGATTGATAATTCCGTATCGAGCTTTAATCAGAAATTTTGATAAACGGGAATTTATTACTGCCACTCTCTCATAATTCTCTAATGTAATCAGAAACGTGTCATATATTTAACAGATAATACAAGATAACAGAACATATTATAATTAATAAGATAATGTAATTTACTTGATAGATTCATCTTTGTGATCACGATGTCTATCAACTTGCCATTACCGTAATTAATAATGTCACGTTAATTTTGCTCGATGTTCGCGAGAGCAAGTTGGTCGCACAGAGAGAAATAATCGCGGCGCAATTGTACGGACAAACTGATTTAATAGTATTACCGCAGCACAGTCACGTGGTGCGAGCACCGAAGAAAAATAGAAGACATTACGGTGGCCGAGTCGGTCACCGTAATTGAAAGTCTCGTAAATAAGAAGGACTGTCCGAGCGGACGAAGATGCCTCGAATTTCAATCTCTCGGATTTCCAAGAGCTCTTGACCCCCGACTCCTAGATTTCTTCTGCTCACGGGCGTGGTGTCCTTTTCCTTCCCTTCTGCTCCCTTTTCATTCACCTTTCGCCCTTTTGTCCCCGTGTTTCTCTTATTGTTAGTTTTCCGACTCGTTGCAATTCTCCTTGTTTTTAAGAAATGATGAAAAACACATCTCACAAATTTTCTCTAGGAACTTACGTTTATTTCTAGCTCGATAGCTTTGATGTGCTCACGGGCAACAACTCGCCTTTTCTTTTTTTCCCCGTTGCCTCTTTTCAGCAGATTCCAAGAGTGACGTATAGAATGCAAATGTACTCGAGCATTACTTTGCTTATTCATTATGTGAATTCACTTCTGTTCTGATTTACGATTTTGTTTTAATGATTATCGAATGGAAAATGTATATAATTAGTTTTACATATTTCGTATAAAAATTCAACATATCACTGTCTGATTATAATCGATTATAAATTATATTTTTCAACACGTAATTTTAATGATGATATTCTCATTAAGTGTCACAAAGTCGTTAGAAAAAAGTTTAATTCATGTTCGTGAAATATTTGCAGATATATATTTTGTCACAATAAAGATAAATAAATGTACACGAAAATCATCTCATTTTTTCCGGATATTTCAGGAAGGTAAACCTTTTTGTGACAAGGGTGCTTCCGCCGTCCTTGTTTCCTGGCATTTAAATTAGCAGCGATTCGCGTAATTTATTTTCAGGCTAATGTCAAACAACTGCCAGCAACTTTGTCGACATTGTCGACCATGTCGAGTGGTTGGGCGTCTTTGAAAGGCGGAAGTCTCAAGGCCTTTGTAAGAGTCTCTTCTTTGTAATTAAGAAGTTATCGACTACGAGATGTTGTATCGGTCTCCCTCTTCTCTGTCGATCTCGTTCTGATTTTTCGCATCTTTGCCTTTTTTCGTCGTGCTGTTCTCAATCCCGGGACCAATCCTTCTTTGCCAAACATACCGCGTTTGCGCAAGGATTGGTTATGAATTATTCATGATAAAGAGCGAACGGCGAGCGAACGGATTGTAGATGAAAAAGCGGTTTTATATACCGGACGTTATATATAATCAACGAGAACCGATTGCATGAACAGTTACGTTTTTCAGTGTGATTTACGTTAATTTTCGGCGCCGATCTACCGCTGTGGAAGAGTCAGGAAGTCATAAGTATGCGAGCGCGTCCTTCCGGTCAGAGCCGCGTGTTTCCTTTTTATCGATATCACAG